CGGGGCCGGGGGCGCCGCCCGCCGCCCGTTGCGGCCGTTGCGGCCCCGCCCGGGCGGGAGCGGCGCCGCGGCGCGTCCCCCCGCGGAGGGGAGAGGTTAAAAACAAAGGGAGTTTTCATCATCGTCATTGTATTAAATAACGGGGCGCCCCTGCGCACCCGCGTGTCCTCAGCAGCCGCGAAACGCCCCTCGGAAGGGCAGGGAAGGGAAGGGAGCCGCGGGCGGACCCTGCCCCCCGCTGGCGTTTGTGGGATCGTTTGTGGGCTGAAGGCAGCGCGCGGGGAGGCCACGCCCGTTCCCCCCGTGTCGCCCCGGGCCCGCGGAGGGAGCTGCACCCTCACCTCGGAAAGGAACCGAGGGCAGCGTTACCGCACCAGCCCCCCCTCGTGAACAGCAGAGTCAATGAGGGAGCCTGTTCCGACCCCCGCTGCCTCCTTGGCCATGGAGACAGAAACGTGGCAAGAGCCGAAGGGATAACTTCTTCCCCTGCCGCCTCCTCATCCTGCCGTACAGGAGGGCTCCTGCTGGAAAAGCTCAGCCTGGGCCGGGACTGACCTGGGAGAGGGGGAACCTTCCCAAGGGGCAGGGGCAGACCCAGCTATGAAAATCCACATCCTTTCTCTTTGCAAGAATAGCAGGGAATTGTTTTGAGAGAGAAAATTAGGTGAGTTAGGTTAATCATCACGAGTGCTTCAAAACAAGAATTAGGACTTGGGACTTTTTTTTTTTTTCTTTTTTTTTTTTTTTTTTTTTCCTCCTCTCTTTTTAAAGAAAACTTTAGCTACAGCTCTGAACACCTGTTTTAAATCTATCCATTTGTCTGCTGTAGCAGCACTGGAAGCCCTGGCCAGGTGCATGTATTCCAGCAGGAGGGGTTTTTTTTCTTTTTCAGATAAGAATTAAAAAAAGAAAATGATACAAGAAAATCTTGAGATGGTTTTCATACAATTTGAGACACATCTATACAAGGAAAATAAAACCAACCATCACAAGGACCATAACAAATACAGGTGGGCTGCAGACCGCCTCCAATCCAGAGCAGCTCGGTACTGTTTCCAGGAGCACCAGGGTGCTAAACTGATGCTTGGGAGGCACGGAGAATGGAAAAGGGGAGATTCAAAAAACCAGGTGATAACTTACACACACACACACACACACACACAGCGTCTTGGAGCCAGCCCCATTCAGCAGTTCATACCCACCTCAACAGAGCACTGGGTGGTCGTGGATAAAGGCAACCGCAGGAGAACCATCAGCCTACGTAACCTGACAATCTCCCCGTGTTAATCCTGGGAAACAGGCAGAATGAGCACAAGTAGCTTTTAGTCTCAGCTGGCACCTCGTACCATGCTTATATTTATCACAACCAAGTATCATGCCAAACTAAGCAGGCTGTTGCAACCACATTTGAGATGGATGAAGACAGTTCTATTGTTGTGCTAATTTTGCATGAAGTTTGGCTTCCCTGTGCTCTAGCTGTGTAGTTTAAGCTGGAAAATTTTGTGTAACTGAAAAAAATAAGCTCGAGAAAACCAGCACTCATAGCACAGCTGCTACATGAACAGCTCAGGGTCACTAGTAGTAAGGAGTAACAACAACCTAGACTAACTTAAGCTCGATCCATTTTCTAACGAATCTTGTAACATTTAGGAGAAGGCCAATGTGATGGCTATCTCGATCAGAATTCCATGGCCAGATGTATGTCAAGCTATACATATTTTGTGTATACACATGCCTCCCCCTACTGCAGAACCATATGTAAATCTAAGTTCAGCCTTGAGGCACCTATCACTGAAAACTGCGTGGTAAAGGGGAAATTAATTCATGGGCTTCCCCACAAGTAGAACAGTAACATAAAGGCTGTGCTGAAAAATTAAAACACATGCCAAGTCAATTCTAGCTTCAGCTCATTCCCAGGATGCTCATTTTTTAATGTTAAGCTTTCCTAATGTGGTTATTTTTACCTCGCATAGATGACACTGTATTCACCGACACGCCTCTTGAAATGAAGAGCAATTTACTGAATACGTAAAGGCAGCCAAAAAAGCACACACACCTCTCCCCATCCTCTATCCTGGGCAAGAATCAGCCCGACAGATGCGCAGTGTTTGGAACACCGGGGATGAGATGGGAAGATCTGTCCAGGGAGGCGTTCTGCTCGTTTCTAAACAACATCCATTTTGTGCTAGCATCTCGGCTGATGCACGTTTTAAGTCTTCGAAAGGGGAGTTTTTTCAGTAAAAAGGTGCCGTGTGAGAGCGAATCGAAGTTCTGGACTCGAAAAGAAGCAATGGATGGAGAGACAAGGTGCACAACACCTTGTGTCTAGAGACAAGGTGCACAACAGGCCTTTCAGTGGCTACGCAGTTGCCAGCAGAGAGAGTAGAGACTAATCCGAAAGCAAATAGTAACCACAAGTTACTGAACCAAATCACTGCAGGCATTTAAAATATAGGTAAAAATTGTTAAAACATTTATTGTCTGTAGAAAGATTTACATCAATTTTATAGAAACTATGTTAAACATACATACAAGTATACCTAAATCTTAATATATACTTATGAACATGAGACTTTTACAAGTCTGCAGATAGAGTAACATTTTCAAAAGTATCTTTGAGGAATGGGAAGACTACAGACTAAATATCCCTCTTTCATTGAAACTTCATCTGCCATAGCTTAAAAATGTTACTTCTTGTCCATGCTTAGAGGGAAAAAAAATCAAATTAAAGGTTTCTGATAACGTACACACATATATATACACACAATATGTACATAAACACACTCAGATGGTCATTAAGGTGGGGGAAAACCTAGTATAAAGTAAGGTCAGCCTTAATGTACTCTAAAAATGGACATTAGGCCACATTCAATTGGAGGCAGGGTGGGGAAGAAAAACCCTGCTATTCCTAAAGCAGAACGGTGCAGCTTTGCTATTCCATGGAAGAGTGTACTCAAACAGCAACTGTTTCCACCCTTCCTCCTTCCCTGAAGCATAAAGACATCAGGGAAGCCAGTCACACAATAAAAGCCACCTACTACATTATTTACAGAATATCAAATATTAAAAAGACAACATGAGGTTTAGACAACTTCAACGAAATCCAGAGCAATGAAGCGGGAACAGAAGAAAGCCCCACTGAAGTGGAAGGCAGCAAAGATTAATCACATGGCTAAATAACTACTCGGAAACCCTTCAACAAGAAAAGCGCCAGACTGGGAGCGGTAACAATGTTTTTCTCCATTTTTTTCTTTTTCGCTTTGAAAATGTAGGTCCTTGGGGTTTGCCAAGGAGTTAGATGCTTTAAGTAGCCTTTCAAAGTTCTTGAAGTGACTTGTATATTTATTTTTCTCCCCTCTCTGTAAGGAGGCTGAAAATCCTCTTATCTTCAGATCCTGCAGCGAGGGAATGAAGTCTCTCCAGGGCCGGAAACATCCTGTTTTCACAGATTCTTTAGGGTGCAAGTCTGAAGTCTTTCTTTCAGAGTTCACCCATAGAGAACGTTGCAGCGGTGGTTCTGACGCTTACAGACAGACAAAAACGTATCTCTAAGGAGCATGGGAAGAGCTTCCTTCAGAAAGCACAAAGTTCAACATCTCTAATTGCAGTCTAAGGTGAAAACTCAAAACAAGCAAACAGCCTCCCCACAAATCCCCATACTATAATCTTTTTATCCAAGCAATTCTCACTATCCAAGATATGGCAAAAAATGACTTCCAATGAATAAAAGGCCAAATTTTAAAACCTTTCCCTCTTGCAATACCACAGAAAAATGTAATATTCAGCAACTGAGTTGACCCAAAGAAGTCTCAGCCTTTCATCCTTAGCCCTGGGAGAGAAGAGACCAAGTCAAGTATTATCTCAAGTGGCTGCTGGCTGAATTCACTGCCACCCTCTGCCACCAGTTACCCAAGCTGAAACAGACCTCGCTTCTTGAGACCTGGACACGACTAAATCCACGACTAGAGGTAGGGCGACTTAAATTTTGCAAACTACCTTTAGGAGCAAAGGCAGACGGGCATGCAGCTCACAAGGGGCTCCTTTCTCACTGGCTGCAGGGTTCTCTTAACCCCATGAATTCAGTCACTACAAAAAGAGGATTACAGCCAACCAGTACAGAAATTAAACTGCTGGGCAAAGCAAATGCTAATGCCACAATAACTTACTATCTTAGGCACGCACACAGAGGAGGCCCCATCATATTAACCCATTGCATTTTGCAATCAAAAAAAAAAAAGTTTCACATGAGAACAACGAAAAATGAGACAAAGCGCATTTAGCAGCCATTTCAAGTCAGTCAAAAGAAAGTACATTTATGAAACAATTAACCAGCTTTTAGGCAACCACATTAACTTGCAATTCCGATTCCAATGTGGCAACAGGCTTTTTCCAACAAGATTCGCTTTTCTTCCGAGGCTGAGGACTGTTCACATGTTTAATACAACCACTTTAACAACTGTTCTCTATCGCTCCTCACATTAGAAACAATATGATGTTCAGAAGGTTTTTTCCCCCCTTCCCTTCTCCCGTTTCCCAAAGGCTTTTTCTGCAATGCAGTCACAGCATAGAAAGGCACCAAATTATCCAAGTAAACTGAGCTTTCTTATGCTTAACATTAATCATCTCAGAGATGCCTTGACAACCCAATTATTATAACTAATTTCAATATATATTAACATATATTTCAACCAAACATTTTGTACCAGCACAACAGATGCTGCTCGTGTGTTGGAAGGCAATAACGGTTGATTATTTGCTTAGGAGTACTTAGATGTACCAGTATCTAATCCAAAAAAGACATGCCCACACAGAACTCAAGTCACTTCAAGTTTCAGAACCAGGTAACAATATGCTGTAGATAACCAGGCTGCCTGTGGCACCTAAGTTACAAAATTCATCTTCTGTAAGATCTTTACACTGTAAGAAGTTTTGTCACGGCAGAATCCTGAACTAGTGAAGCAAAGTCATCAACAAAAAAATGATTCAAGCAAATGGTATCACCTTAAACGCTGTAACAACTGAAATAACAAGTGACATTTCATTATATGACACTCATCTTGGGACTGGGGATAGGTGAGGGGAAATATACCAAATTGCCTTCTGTTTGTAACAGTTTTCTCAGCTGTAGAAATAAAACTTAGAGACACATAGGCACACACAGGTAGAGCTAGCAAAGCACATCACCACCCAGGAGTCATTCACACCTGTAAACCCAGACTTGCTAAGTGGGAAGCAGCAAGTCAGTTCTGGTGGTGCCACTGCTACTTCCACACAAGGGTATCGAAGCTGCTGTGTGAGAAGTTTCTTCCTGCCTCCACTTTTCTCCACTTGCTCAACCATGAACTCTCCTCCAGACTTGTGTAGGAATGCTGCTGCTCATCTTTCACCTAAGCCCTTGCAGTCCTTGCTTCCCTCTCCGGGGTCATCTGCACTGCATGACTTAGTTACCACTGACAGCACAGTATGTAAAATATTCCCTGTCTAGAAGTTAGCTGCTCCTATTTGGCCAGGGAATTCCCTTCTTTCAGCTTTCCATTTTCTACACGTTACTGAAAAAGTATCTATTAAAAATTGTGAAATAAACCAAATAATAGGGTGTTTAGAAACTTACCCCATCTGGTCTTACCGTTGGATTATGGCATCCAATGGGGCACATCTGCCTCCTAACTTTCTACAAACACTTCAGCTGCACATGCCACGGACTGAAGACTGGGACACTGCTAAGTGTGACGAGATCCTTGGAGCCTTTCAATAAACACCCTCCTTACTGAAGGGCTTGTGCACAAACACTGCTGGACTTCCTACCCAAAACTAGATTCCTTTGCTCTCCCTCCGAAGACACCTCTAGGCTGGGTTAGGCTCTGATCTGGGTTAGGTTCTGGACAGCAGTCCAGACGAGGCCCTAACTTGTGTTCTACACAACTAACGGTGTCGGGACAGCGACACAGATCAGATGCTTTCAACTGTTGTGGGTAGTGTGAGCAACTTCTCCTCTTACAAGAAATGAGGACACCTTCTCTGGAGACTACAGAGTGTGGGTCTCGAATTTACCTGGAATAAAAAGTCTGACCACATCTTTAATACATACACACAATCCTACCATACACTATATATTAAGGCAAAAGCTATAAATAGGAAATAAGCACAATATTGTTTATAGCCGACACAGTATGTCGGCCTGAGTTTTGCATACAGCGTGACAATATTGTGGTACAGTAAACTGCAGGGATTTACTGGGATTTTAAACAAAAAGATTACAAGCTATCTGCACTTAAAGCAGTGTCAATTATAAACAGCTTTGTTAGAAGTCATGCTTATAAAAACCTGTGGTTTTGCTGCTTCTTGTATTTAAATATTTCAGGTTCCATTTTCAGAATCCATGAAAAACTGGCAGAAATATTAGCGAAGACGTGGCTTGGTCAAGAATGCCATACCCAGAAAAGTGTACAGAGACAGAATATTTTTGAGTACAGCCCAACTAATCCTCTAACAACCCCAAGCACGCTTCCAGGGCAGCCAAGCTGCTGCTAGAGTACGTTACGTCTCTGCCCATGAGCCTTGGTTTTAATCAAATGCTGAAAACTGTCTCGGTCTAACAAATCACAAATGCATATATACACACACACACACACATCAAAACCTATGTTTAATATTAAACTAAAAATGAAGTAATACAAAATACTGTCTTACAGAAATGACTGAACAGAGGTGAAAGATCTATTGCACAACCTAAAAGGTCATTACTTGGAAAATCCTGAGCTAATGTGCTATTACCAAACAATCCAGGCACTTTTTTTTTTCCTTTTTATTACATAAGCAATAAACTTTCAACATATAAACCTCTGTGTGTAACAACTCACATTCCATCTGTAACATCATGCTCAGAGAAAAAGTAATAAATAAGATTCCCTTCAGTGATTTCTTTGCTCGAGACTGGTATGCAAAAAGGAACTAGAGTACATACTACAGTGTTTCAATTGAATACTGTAATTTAAAAGCAATTATTAAAACTGTAAAAAAGTTCTGCAGCATTCCACTACTGAAAAATAAAGGTATTTCATCAAGAAAAGTTACACTGTTAGTTCATTCATCCTATTTTAATTCTTGACAAAGTTGTCAAAAACGAATAGCTGCTCCCTTTGCCGTGTTGCACATTCCAACTGCAGGACCACAGCTCAGCTCAGGTTTCTGCTGCAATATTTAAGTGTCCCTATGGAGAGGAAAAACAATCGTCACGTCAAGGTGTAAAAGGGGAAGAAATCCTCCCAGCTTTCGTGGCATATATGCTCGTACAGTGCTTAACTACAACGTCAGTGCTGTAGAGTTACAGAATGAAACAGCACAACTGTAAAGACTGCATCTTAAACGCATAGTTATTTTAAAACGGTGAAATATAATGGTGTTTTGACAAGTTCAATTACTGCACAGATCGGCAAAGGAGGGAAGTGTTAGAAAATTAAGAACAGTTTTGTTTTTAAAGAATTAGCCAACCATCAAGCAGTACATAGTTAAAAAGACTGCATCATTTCAGGCTATCTGACTTTAAACTCAATGGTATTCAGTTTCTTCATAGATTATAGAAAAAAATACCAATATTCAGATCTTATGCTTCTCTAAGAGAAACCAGAACCTCCAGTTGTCAGACTTTATGAACTGTTTTAATAAATTCTAGACATGAACTTTATCATCCAGTTACAGGACAGCATTGGAAATTGAGGGGAAAAGTCACTAGCACAAAATCGCAGTGGTTCTGTGCCCCTTTTACAGCTTCACACATTTTGGAAAAAATCCTTCTGCCCGTGTGTTCCGCTCATTTCAGTTCCACGTTCGCCTTGCGAGATCATACGTCAGTGAACACAGAAATTGAAAAGAAAAAACAAAACAAAAGCCTTCACATAGCTTTAAGCATAACCTAAGAGGATTCAGCCTTTTGAAACACAGAGGGTCAGTGTTTCCCCTTTCGTCAAACAGCAAATCAGGTCAACTGCTCTCCAGAACAGATTACTGGAACAGAGGCAGCGCAGATTCTCAGAACCCACCTCCAATTTTCAGTCACCCAAGTTTCTCTTTGCAAGTTTCTAAGGGATAAGCAGGGAGGAAATGAGTGCAGAATCCAATTTGCCTGCAAAGAGCAAAGATGCGGTACTCCAAAAAACTCCCATCGAGTTATTCCACATGGATTTAGAAACGGAAGCGGATCATTTGAATACTCACATTTTATACAAGGGCTTAGTGAAAACAGATTAAGCCAACTCACCTTTTCTTTCCTCAAAAATCCATCTCGGAATCTATTGGTGGTAAATCCCCTGACACCAACGGAACGTAACCGCTGGTACTTGGCCTGGATGCACAAACCCTTCTGCACCAAGCCCGATCTATAAGGGGTTTGCAAGCGGCCATCTATAAAGTTGCTCTGTAGGAACGGGAAAAAGGAGGGGAAAAATGTAAAAAATGAGGCAGTGAAGCTCAGGCTTAAATTTACAGTTACACACATATGCAAAACTGACAGGGCTGAACAACTGTATTCTTCACTTTTAAGTACTGAGTTCCTTCCATTATTTCCAAATTAGTGTCAAGTTGCTGCGTTTAAACGTCAATCCTTTAAAAACATTAGATCACCTTGCAGCACTGCACTTACTGCACAAAACAACCAAGATTTTCTTCCTCATAGAAAAATCAAGCATTTTAGGAGTTTCAGAACACATATACTAAATATAACAAGAAAACAGAGGCAGTTTAAGACAACACTTCAGTGTTGCCAGGCCCGCAGTGCACACACATCTTGAGTACTAAGAAATACATGTACCGAACAGAAATCTGTACACTATCTTTTAAGATGGTTATAAGGACTTGAACATATATTCACTGCTTTCATTGCCTCCAGGCTGGGTGGACGTAAGCTAACTTAGCGCAGGACCAGAAGGAAAAGCCACGGAGATAACAAAATCTCTATGGGAGGATGGCATTATAAATACACAGAACCAACAATACAGCAAGATCAACACTCATAAAAGCAATTAAAATTAGAAAGAGGTTTACACTCATAAACACTCGAGACCTCCAGGACAGTCATAAGGAGTTTAAAAAAAAAGAATAAGGAAAACCTAGTTTATCATTATTTCTCATTAAGTTTTTTAAGTTGGTCCTGACAAGAAATATTACTTGTATCAACTCACCCTTTAAATAGAAAGGTTCAAGTGGCTTTCCAATAATAAAGAGACAGGAAACATCTTGACCATGCAAAATTCTTGTCATCTTTTATAAATAGCTTTAAAGGGCAAGGGAAACCAAAACATACCACAGAAATAACCTTTCTTGAGAGGTGCCCAACTACTTTGGCAAAACCTATCTGTTTTTGACAAAACCGAGTATCACTTCCAGAAAATCACATGCTCTGAAGTCGCAATAAATTTGTTTTTTTTTCCCCCCCACTGCGTGACTCGTGATCAGCTAAGGAAGCCCTGTCCAGAACAGAGGCTCCTTCCCACAAATTGAGAGGTTTTGCTCTTTCACGAGTGTCTTCACCCACGCAGGGTGGGCCTCGTGGAGCAGACCCCATCAGTCCCCGAGGTGGCTCTTACAGTGCTTCTAGGCAGCTGACCTCTGCAGGAGGCTACCAAATGTTACTGAGTCCTGGCACAAGGCACTCAGCAAATTCCTTAAGGCAGCGTGTGCCTGCCATAAGGAAAATGGAAGGACATTCTTAATGCTATACTAAGCCCCTGGACACTGCGAAGATGAGAAGTTCCTGGTCCTTTCACAGCTGCTGTGGTTCTCTACCGTGCAGAGTGGCTGTGGGTGGCTAGAAAGGAGGTCTTCGTCACTGCATTTTTCTAGCAGCAAATAGTAAAGGAGCAGGCTGAGTAAGGAAGGGGGAGAAGTTGGTAGATGTTGGAAAGAAGAATGAACACAGCTTTAACCCTGAGCTCAAACAGCCACACCTCCAACAAGCAGGGCAGGGGGGAATAAAAGCAGGACTACTAACACAGGACAGAGGCAGCTGTAGATAGAGTTGGCAGGTTAAACAGTTGGCATGGAGGCACTGCAGTCATATACACCTTAGATTAATGATGCTTTTGTACAGCTTAGAGGTAACTTCCAGCATGAAACAGTTTGGGCTCAAGTGACCTCTAGTTTCAATCGATTAAGATCCTCTCTTACAAATAATACAATTAAGAAGCCCTATGGGCCAGCTGCCCCAGGTGCCGAGATAGGTCTGAGGTCTGCAGACTCACAGGCGAATGCCCCACTAATACCCCAACCTGCCCCAAAACAGGGAGTGAAGTTTAGAATTAAAGGCTGCCATGTATGCGTGCAAAGACGCACACTGGATGTGTGCATCCAGTTAACTCCTACAAATTCACTGGGAGATGTCATTACAAAAGAGACCTTTAAGGTTTTAAGAGTTCTCCATTTCCTTCAGAGAACAGCTGCGCTAAATATTTTCTTTTTCTCCAAAAAGCCTAATGGACTGCCAGACCACATGATTTAAAAACACTCTAAACAAATTCCCTTTCTTTGCTTATAGAGTGAGATTCTCTCACTTTATGCATCAAGAAGAAAGGCCTTTGTTTTTCAAATCAACCACAAAAATCTTTCCAGCACAGAAAACAGTCAAATGATCTCCCTAAACAGCTATCGGCAAAAGTCCACGCAGGAAAAACCCTCTGTGCTAAGTAGGTGGAAAAAGAAAAGCTTATGAACTAAGGTCAGGTCAGCCCTGCTGTTTCCACAGCAATAATGTGCTTTACACTTAAGTACAACTAACCTTACAGTGGACGCCATTTTACCTACAAAGTTTAAAGCACCTTGGGACACAGCAATATTAAGGCTGCGTACACACACAGTGCCAGCTTAAGCACACACTTCCGTACTTGTTACCAACAACTGAATGGTTGAGGTCGGAAGGGACCCCTAGAGATCATCCAGTCCAACCCCTTGCTCCAGCAGGGACACCCAGAGCACGGGGCACAGGGCGGCATCCAGGCGGGTTTGGAAGATCTCCAGAGAAGGAGACTCCACAACCTCCCTGGGCAGCCTGTGCCAGGGCTCTGTCACCCTCACAGGGAGGAAGTTCCTCCTCAAGTTACACGGAGTGGCAGGAGCCACTCAGCCACCCTCTCCCTTCCCTACAGGCAGGGGGAAAGCTGGTAAAAACATTTTAAACTTCCTAGCTTCAAATTGGGAATTTTACTAAGGTAAACAGCAATGTACAAGTATCCCTCTTGTGACGGCGCTAGTTTGGCTATCCAGCAGATTCACTGGCAAAGCTTTCCTTGAAAGACTGCTACCTATTCTACCTATGCCATGTTACTCAGACGTTTCACTGCAGCCTCTTGTAAGGGATTAAAAGTAATTTCTTATGGTTTATGGGAAAAAAGTAATGAAACAGGAAAGGATACTGTATATCCTAATGCAATGCTCCATCCAGTTAAATAATGAGTAAGGGTAATTTTAAGTAAAAAAAAATAAATGAAAACAGATTGTCCTAGATTTGATACCTTCCTATTAAGGACGGCACTAATTGGACCCAAGCACAACACAACCACGACAGCAGAAAGGGGCTTTTCGGATTTCCTGACCCTGTGATAGACTTGTAGTTAAGAGGAGTAGAAAGGCACCATGTTACTCCAGGAAGAGGCACGTTTGCCCACTATCTCCTCAGCATCTTGAGACACTCAAGATCAAACATTACAACATTCAGATTTATAGGAAAATGCACAGATAGCAGGATGTCATGACAGGAGATGAGTAAACCTCAGATCAGAGGTCCCCTTATGAATACACAATTCTGAAACCAAAGCAATTTACTTCATCCAATCGTGGGCAATAATTTAGGCTTCCATATATGTCTGGTGGAGGACAGAATGCTACCCAGCTTGTTTTGGGGACACTGGCTTCCTAGTCACCCCTCGCGTTGCACAATTCTCACTCACAACTTCAGAATTAACCCCTTTCTCTCATGTCTCAACCCATGAGACACTGGACAGTTCATGTCAACACACTGCCAGCCCTCTGACCTAGGAAAAGCTGAGCTTCCCATCGCTCCATAGGGAAGGATTCCCCTTTGATAACACTGTTTTTCATGACATTTAAGACTGTTTAAAAGACCTCTCGCTGCCAAATCAGCGTGATCAAATCACGGGTTTATACAACATGTACATCTGATAAATTCGATCCATACCTTGAAGTTTCTCCTAATAGGTCCTGTATTTTCAAGATGTCCTCTAATTCGTCTGTGAGGGAAAATATCATTTGGTTTTGAAGAATAATAAGAATTCTAGAGAGGGGAAAAAAAAAACAAAAAAACAACAGCTATTAGCTTGCTCTTGCTGAATTACTAAACAGACAAATTTTCAGGTTATATCAACTAACGTCGCAATTCCCTGCACCTCACAGCACGCCTGGCAGGGCTAAAAGGCAGCAGGATCCCAACAGCCTAGGACCTGGGTTCGAGCTGCCTGAAGTGATGACAGACCCCACCGAACTCACGCAGCACAAACCATCCTCCCAGGACACCACGCTCCTGGGTGGCTACCTGCTCAGCTACCAGGTACCTGCTCAGACCTCTTGGGTTAAGGTCACCTCCCCTGTCCTGTCAGGGCCGCCGCTGCAACGGGCCACGGAGCAAAGGGAGGAGGTAGGTGGCTACAGCAGCCACCCCTGCACGAAGGGGTAAGATGAGCACAGTTCGCACTGTGGAGATCCCTGCTTATGATATGGGGCATCCTACAAAACACGGTGAACTTTTGAGCAGATGTGAGCATTGCTGCTAGGTAAATCACTTTGGGAACCAGACAGGAAATGCACAATATCACAAGTCACACTACGTTAGTCCTTAGGAGGTCTTACTTTTCATTCTCTTTGTATTACAGGATAGTGCTCTGGAAAAGACTTGCCTGACACAGACATCTATATATGATATGTGAAACACAGATACATGGCATCAAAATTGTTCCATGTTGACACAGGGAACAGCTGCAAAGAGTTATAGTTGCATACAATAGAGCACTCTCTCCAGCTTTTATACAGCTTCATATATGCACATGCTTTGCCATTGCTCATATTATAAATAGCATGTAATTATAAACATTTACAGAGACATTACATACTGCCATATACTGCACTAAAATCATCTCCTACTAAACTACCAGTCAACTCTTTGCAGTCAACCCAATCATTTCTCCTGTTCCAGTTAGAAGTGTGCTCGAATAATCTCAAAGAAATCCATACTTTTGGAAGCTGTTCACTCAGTAATTGAGAGCTTCACATGAACTTTGAGAAGAGCCTGAAAAGAGAAATCTCTATGCAGGATTTCTTATATACTATCACTTAACAACAACTGCAAGTGCAGACTCTGCACAACTACTGTTTCTCTAACAAAATACCAAGTCATTATAGCATTAGAAACATTTTAGGATGTGTTTTTAAATTAGAATTAAAAGGAGTATTGCTGTTGAAAGAGATCTCAATCACTTGAAAAAAATCCACAGCTAATTCAATCACTTCCAAAAAAAAAAAAAAAAAAAAAAAAAAAAAAAAAAACCACACCACACTCAACTTTAATGTCCTCAGATTTGAAGCTGTTTTGGTTTAAGCTGAACTTTTCCCACGTAGGCTGCTTGGGTGAATGTCTGAGTTTCACACTCTTCAGAACAAGCAGAGAACCTCAAGATGGTTTCTAACACTTGCTGATTCAAAGAGCATAGGTGGAGACTATAAGAGGTACAGAAAAGCATCCATACCAAACTTAACTTTTCCTTTTGAGAAGATCTTCCCTACAAGTCAACCAACAGTTTATCCAGCTTTTGAAATTGCCTTGACAAGAGGGGATTCGGTAGAAAACAGAAAAAGAGGATGGAAGCTCATGAAGCGAGAAGAACGTAGATGAGATGGCTTTTCTTAGAAAACATATGGAAAAGGGAACATACAGACAGAAGACTTCCCAGCTTCTTATTGTAAGGATGCAAAGATACTTAGACTTATCTATCTGCACGCAATATGTAACTAAACCAAGAAATCCACTGTTCAGAGTATCCTCATCCTTCAAACACCTTTACATGAATCTCCTCTCTGTTTACAGGCAGCAGGAATCACAAGTTATAGGGATTTTCATCCTGCATACACTTTAGTGAAACCTTCCTAGTCTCTCCAGTTGTCCATGTTGAATGCAGTCTTTGTCCTGAAGCAGAACGCTTCTTTACTTAGTTAAAACCGAGTAAAATTTTATCCAACTATCCTTTCCAATAGGGACAGTTTTATTTCTTCTGAACCCAACATTACTATCCTTGTCCCATTTTGGCATAGCGCAGCACAGAAAGACAGCCTAAGAAAGAATAACTGTTCTTCCTAGCTTTGATAACTCAGTATGAAATGCAGAATTAGCTAATCCACTGTACAACACTGCATCCTTTGGGACACCACTCAGGCTTTTTGATTTATTTCTGTGATCTGTTCTTTACTTGTATTTGTTTTACAACAAGAGCTTTCCAGAACCTCTCTTCCCGTAACGCAGAGAAACGCTCCGCAGCGGTGACGATGATGACTACACAGAATGAGATGCAGACCTTCCTCCCCAGCCGCTGGCACCTGCCCTGCAGTATTGCATTCCCATTTCCTCATCCCCAGGCTGTTCCGCATCACCTCATGCTAGCTGCCTAATAACAAAGCTCTCCAATCTATGGCTTAGCCTTTTTTTTTTTTTTTTTTTAGCGTGTGTGTGTAAGTGTAAGAAGTGTGACATGCAGTGCAAATGTCTTTTGTAAAGCTATCGGCAATTTGAGTTCCAATTTCATGAAGTCCCTTAATTAATCCAGCAGGTCACTAAACCTCCCAATTGAATAGCTGGAACAGGGCAAATTAAGAGATCTAAAAGTGACCACCTTACTTCCCTCTGAAGTCTTTCAATTTTATTTACAAGTACATTCAACATTTCCAATCGAAACTAACCCTTTGAAACAACAAACCACCTGTCATCTCCTTGCTAGGTTATGAGAACACTAGCAACCTTGTTTTGAAACCACACACAGGCATTAAAAAACTTAAAAAAAACCAATAATTTTGTTGTATAGGCATTTGGTTATAAAAATGGATTCAGTTGACATGAATAAATCTGTGCTGCAGCAGATGTCTGAGGAAACACTGTTGCACTAGAGCTGTTAAATTATGAGATGAGCAGTCAGTTTTAGGGGTGACATTGAACAAAAGTGGCTGAAAATAATAAAGCTTCAGCTGAAAACTGAAAAGGACAAGAGATGACTGGTCTGTAAGTTCACTTCAACCTAGTTGAATGCTGAGGTTACTACTTCATATTTAGGCTTACCAGGTGAGGTTTCCCAATGAATTTCCTGAAAGGTGGTTTAATGAACCTCATAGGCTTTTGGAAGCCATCAATGTGGGAATTTCGTAATTTTGAAACGCTGCAGCTTTGCTGGCTCCTGATCAGAAACAGAAAAGATGCAAAGAAAGAGACAATTAAAATCGAAATCCATCATGCATCCAACAATGTTTAAGATGGCCTTATCCATCCCTTAAAAGTGCAAAGTGATGGTTTTCAAGCAATATTAATCGAGGACACTTGCTGACACAGTGCTTGCCTTCTGACTAAACAGAACGCCCAGTTACCCAGAATCACAGCCTAACCCGTGTGCTGTTGTGTCATTAAGAATAAATGGAGATTTGCCTTCCTACAACCGTTACCCAAAGGCAGCCTCCCCGCTTCCCGCAGCGGTGCCTGCACTGTTGCTGCCCTCTGCTGCCTTCTAATGAAGAAGCACTTCAGCCGCTGCTTTGCACTATTGCTGTCTTTGTGATTGTACAAAAAGTCCCATTTTATGAATTTTCTGCATCAGACAGGCTGGAGCTAAACAGACAGGCGCAGCTACATGCTCCAGTTTCATCCTCAACAAGCCAGGCTTGTCTCCTCATCCACACTCATCCACACCATCCCTGACCCCAGCCCACACTACGATTCACGCCCACTGGGACGCAGTGCCCTCCCTCATGCCCAGGAGAAGGAAAGCCACACTTCTAAGATACAAAACGAGCTTCTCACTATAAACAGCATGTAAAAAGGGTCAGCAGACTAACTGCATGTGTAGGGAGGGGAGGGAATTATCTAGGAGATAAGTCCCAGATTATCAGGCCAAATGCTTACTAAGAGCAGCAGCACTAGGTACATAAAAGGCTATACACAACAGCTCAAGGTATTTTCCTTTGTTTAAACATAAAGGTCTCTGCTTGAGCAAAGGTGAAGGGTGTGAAGCCCAAATACAAGAAGTCTGTTTCTTCCACAGCTCAAGCCTGCCTCCACCTCCACAAGTCACCTTTCCTTTGTGTATTGCCACAGTCTGCCATTACAGACTACATTTAATATGATGGCATCTGTTCATTTTTAAGAAATATCTTCAAATCAAGACTATCATACTGAATCATTTACTTCAATGATTCCCCTGCTCCCCTCCGCAGGAATTAGCCAAGAACTCTCTCACTGCAACCAGAAAATCCTGTGGTATCAGCAATGGAACAAGGCTGGCTCAGGGCAACAAATACCTCTGGGCAAAAAAATCTTGGAGGAACTCACAACAGCACTAAGCAATTCCAAAATCTCTATAGTTTTCCTCCATAAAATTCTTTCAGATTTAGAAGAACCCCAAGTTTTTGCTAGTACTCTGCATAACATTACAGACAGCCTGGACAGCATGACATATAACATTCTCTTGGTGTTTTGTACTTTTGTAAAAGCATTCAAGAATAAAACCATATGCCATAAAAAAACCTCTGAATTTAAAAACAGTTAAGCCTCTTTAATTAATTTTTTCCCTCCTTCCCATTCAGGACTACAATGTGAAGTTGGGGGAGAGAGAGGGGGGAGGGAGAAAAGGGTGTTTGGGGCTTTTTTTCCCTTTTGTTTTCTCTCTCCTCTCTTTTACTGCAGCTTAATCTCTTTCAAGGTAGCACTTCATTACAGAGCAACTTGCAGGAGTGTTTGCAATGCTTGCCAGCAGAATTTCAATCCGAGTCAAACTTGCAAGGACAAATCTGCTGAAAAGAATCAGAGCATACTTGAATGCAACTGTGGGAAAGTCTCAAAAAAGACCAAAACGAATGTGTAAGATAACCACAGGTTCAGGCAAACAAAATTTGTACTGGCTAATTACCTGGGAGTGATGCCATCTACATGAAATAATCTCTCATCTTCATTCTGCAATCTCTCTTTTCTTCTCCTTTCTATATCATGCCGTAGATCATTTGGATCTTCCAGAACTCTGATCATGTTCTAGTGGAAAGGAAGGTTTCATGTCAGGTTGGTTTAAAATAAGTGAACAATACTACGTAACCCAAGTGACTGAATTCTGTTTTTCAGGAAACACATAACCTCAGTAAAGAAATTCCATCACTTGCCCTTAAGACAGATGCCCGCCAACTCAAGAACCCAAATGCCACAGCAGTTGCAAAAGGAGTCCCAAACAATCTCTCCCCTCCAGCTACCACAAATTTCCAAACAGTGAATAGAGCACTGAAATGGCACTGTGCATTTCAGCATGGAGTTATACAGACATTATACATGGAGTTACATCTAGGTGAAAATATTTGCACAGACCCCAGCTGTAAGAAGTCTATTGTTCTTAATTTGCATCTCCAGGTACATGTACTGTACAAAAAAATATAAAATTCTGATCTTCTACCTGGACATTTAGTCATTCTAATATCACGATACAGAACACATTCAGACTTTTTTAAAAAAAACTCGGATGGAAAGTTGGATTCACATGGCAATAGTCACCGACTTTTTATTTGGACTCTTTTAAAATAGAATGGCTTTGAGACAGCAAGAATAATGGCCCGAAACACTCTAGCTACTCTAGAACACAAGGGTATAGTACCGGTCAGTGAGCACAGTACATGTGCACCATTCAGATTACACCCATGAGTTTACTAAAAGCATCAAAAATGGGCAAAATTACTGATAGTCTCCAAAGCATCTAAAATCAGCAACAAAAAGATGTTACTTGAGACCATATCATTTCAGTTATTTAACTTCTTCGGTCACAGCGCAAGATACCTGTGGAGACTCAGATGGCACAGCTCGTTTGTTCTGAAGCTCTGCTAGAGACATATCAATCCTCCTAGAACAACAGAAATATTACGTAAAAACAGGCACCATCATTATAAATGGCAAGACCACTACTATTAAGCAACTGCACTACTATGAACCAAAGAAACAACGCTGTTCAGCTGTGTTGGATCTTCAGCCTACTGAAGATTCTTAACTATCTCAGCAGAATAAGACAAAATTACAGCAATTACCTGTGAATTTCTGGATCCAAATGTATTTTAACTTCATTTATATTTGCAACAGGTTTATCCTGGAGTTTTGAGAACCGTTCATGTAAAGTTATGTCAGAAGATGCAAAATAATTTGCTGCAAAGAAATATTAAACACAAGAATGTTTATTTTAGTCTTCACATCTGAACCGTACAGCTGGCCATCTTATCTTCTAGAAGATTTATTAGTAAGAATATATCAACACAACTTGAGATTAAATTTCCAACTACTCCCATTTGCAGTCTCACATTCAGAAAGGAAAGATTAGGCTAGCCCAACTTAGACGTCTTTCTTATTAAATAAAATCAGTTGAATAGAAAACTGTTTACCAGCTCTATTATGGTAATAATCAGGCTACTGAAATCTACAGCTAAAAAAAGTTCAGCACCGAATATTATACAATAGTCTGTATAAAAACTGTCTAAAAACTAATTTGAAAAAATAAGGAAAGCTGTATTACCAATTAGTTGTGACTAAAGCAAAGCAAATATAACATAAATGAAGTCAAACACCTCAGGTCTACAAGGACAGAATATCTAGTTCAGTACACTTTTTTATTATAAATATATAAACACACACAAATACATATACCCAAAATATTATAGCCACCTTTAACTTGATGGATAATTGTGATTATTTCCTGAGTAAATTCTCTTGATGGATTGTTTTCAACATTTTGTGTTACAGATTCCATGTGTTCAAACACTGGATGAAAATTTTCATTTTTCCTGCCAATAGCAACCAGATCATGTGACATCTGTCTCTCTGTAGTATGACTAGAAGAATTCCTAGAATAAAAATTTGTAGATATGCACTTTAATAAAAGTCAGTATGTTTGAAAACTTCACATAGAATAAAACAGTAAAATAAGAAGTTCATTTTAGGAAAATTATTACAAATATGACAAAATTGAAATTCCCTCTCGTTCCTTTTTTAATCAAAAGCTTCAGGCAAGAAACATTGGTGACAACGTAAGGAAGGAAAGCAAGAACAACATAGCTAGATATGTCTGAGCTCTCAAACCCTTGTGAATTATGCAGTACAAAAAATGTAAATTTTAAACTAGATTACCAAATAAAACAGACAAATGAAGATATTAATTGAAAATATTTTCTCAAGTGTCATTCTAGAAGATAATTATGTTTTTTTCTTAACATTTATGAAGAGCTATAAGCCCTTCTCAAGACAGTTCAGATCTTGACACCTTACGTTTCCTTTGAAAACCAAACCACCATTTAGAGTTTAGTGCAATAGCTCTCCTTCAGAATGACCACTAGCAGCGCGCAAAATTCCTTTTAAAATTTTTAAATCGCTTCTGCTCGTCTCATTACAGTAAAAATGTTTGCCATTTGGAAAGTTGAGTTTAGGACTCTAGCATTCTACAAAAAGATTTTTAGGATAGAGGCTCTATTTACCATGCTTTCAGGAAAGCTATTAAGAAGCTGCCACACTGCACCTGAAGATTAGAAGAGACATATCCCACAAAAACTATAAGACAGAAACAACCTCCAGCAGGTCCCAGGGGTCACCTGCTTGCCCTGGTAAACTGGGAACAAGTAAACTCGAGCAGGAATTCCAACACCTCGGCTCAGGCATTTACTATAGATGCCTTATCTACCTTCTCCCCGGGTTTATAAAGAACATTTCCTTCTCAGCTAAGGTATTTCAAGTCACATGTTAGTTAAATGCCTTGAAGCAGGCAACAAAAATACAGCCAGCAACTACCTCCTAGGATAATCACATTTTCATTTTTAAAAATTTTTGTTTTCTTTTAAAAAAAATTATGATGTTCTTCACTTTTAGCAGCGTTTTCCCACAGCCCGAAATGAAGCAAACTGTAATCAACACTGCAGTTCTTCAGTCTGCAAACAGTCACATTCTCCACTGCATGTGACTCTCCAAACCTGCAAAAAACTACTACTGCCAGCTGACTTGTGTGTCTGTGTGTGTGTGTGCTTACAAACAAAATCAGTAATTTTTAATATTAATTTTCAGGAATAAGAAAGACTTGTCCATGTGTTGGACTATTACCCTCTGCTGCTCTTCCATGCAGGAATTAATGACACCAAGGGAAAACTGGAAAACAAACAGGATTTCAGAGCTCTGGGGATGGTGGTCACAGGCCCAGTGGGTAAGGTCATCTTCCCCTCAGTTCTTGGTGTGGGAAAAGGTGAGAGCAACAAGGGACAAGTTTTTCAAGTTAACCACTGGCTGCACCACCGCTGTTGGCGGTGGTTTTGGTTTCTCCAACCATGGGATCCCGTTTGAAGATCAACAGCTGATGGGGAGGGAGAGGCCCTACCTCACTAAGGAGGGCACATGCATTTTTACCACAGGTTGGCCAGCCTGGTGAGGCGAGCTTTAAAGAAACGGCACAGAGGGAGTTAGAGCAGTCAGCAAAACACAGCTGAGGTCAGGGTGCCTCCAGCGGGAGCACGCTGCTGGGCAAGTCCATACGGGACGTGACTACGGAGGACCCTCCCGTAGCCCTCGTGGGGAACCCACACCCTGGGCTACCTCCCGAGCCGGCGCCCCGCGACGCCCGCAGCAGGGGAAGGCGCAGGAGGATCCGCGCGCCGCCGCAGCACAGTGTCGTGCCCATAGGTGGGACGGCGCACGTGCCTGCGGCGCTGTCGCGCAGGGCGACGTGCTCTGGAGCAAAGGCAGGCCAGGGAAACAAGGTGGAGCTGCTCTTCACGGGAGAGAGCAACTGGATTGTAACAGCCTCTGCACAGGGGTCAAGTCCAGTCCATCCCCATGTGTAAGAAGCCGGGCAGTGGGGGCGGGAGGCCTGCACGGATGTGCAAGGAGCTCCTGATGAAACAGAAGGAAGCGTACAGGATGTCAAAAAAGGGGCAGGAAACTCGGGAGCAATAGAGGAACACAGTGGAATACGCATGGATGGGACAAAGGAAGTTAAGGTCCATCTGGAATTAAATGTGGCAAGGGGTGTCAAGGACATCAAGAAGGGCTTCTTCAAATAGAAGAGTAGCAACAGGAAGACTAGGGAAAAAGTGGGTCTGCTGATGCCCTGGTGACAGGGCAGAGAGAACAGGGCTATTGAACATCACAGAGAAGAGAGTTACTGAATACCACCTGTGCTTCAGTCTTTACAGCTCAGGCCAACCCTCAGCAGAGAGAAGAGAAAGCCTGGAGAGAAAAGACAACCTTCCTTTGGCTGAGGAGGATCGGGTTAGAGATCACTCAGGCAAATAAAAAGATATCTAAAAAGAATTCAAAAGGATCTCAAACACACACACCTACACATCCACAGGCCCTGATGCAAGTGCACCCACAAGTGCAGGAGCAGGCAGATGTTACTGCCAGGCCACTCAATACCACCTTGGAAAGGTCACGGAGAAGAGGGCAGGTGTCTGAAGCCTGAAAGCAAGCTGGTGTTGCCCCAGTCTTCAGGCAAGGCAAGGAGGATGAGCCAGGGCCCTACAGGCAGGTCAACCTCACCTCCATCCCTGGAAATGTGATGGAACAGTTCATCCTGAATGTCTTCGATAAGCACGTGAAAGAAAAGGTGCTCACTGGGAGCAGTCAGCACAGGTGCAGCAATGGGAAATTGCACTCCATCAGTCTGATAAGCGTCTATGATAGAGTGACTGCCTCGTGAGATGAGAGGAGAGCAGTGGATGTTGTCCACCTCAGCCCCAGGGAGGCTTTTGTTACCGTCTCCCACAACATCCTCATAGGCAAGCTCAAGAGGTGCGGGCTGGACGAGCACGCTGAGAGCCAGATGGAGACGGGGCAGAGCTCAGGGGGCTGCGATGAGGAGCACAGGGCAGGTGGGGGCCTGCAGCTTACAGCGTCCCCCAGGGCCAGCACTGCCTCCAACCGTGTTCAACTCTTCCATCAATGACCTGCACGAAGGGACAGAGCGCACCCGCAGCAAGTTTGAAGATGATACAAAACTGGAAGCAGTGGCCGAAACCCCAGAGGGGTGTGCTGCTTTCAGACCTGGACAGGTCAAAAATATCCCAAGGTGTGTTAGAAAGTGCTGCCAGCATGCTGAGGGAGAAGATCCTCCTGCTCTACGCAGCCCTGGTGAGGCCACATCTGAAACACTGCGTGCTGTGAGCTCCACAGTACAAGAGGCACATGGAACTACCGGAGAGAGGCCATCCATTTTAAAATAAGTTACAGTCTTGTTCTATGCTTATTACCTCTCAGAAACTTTGGTTTCTCCCATATTCACAAACTGCAAGCAGACAACAAGAAAGAATAGGTGAGGAGAAAACAATACCTGTACTTGGTCACCATTTTCTTCATATCCACTTTGATTGTCAGACGTTCCCTCCTACAGCTGACATCTGACATTTTCGCATCTGAAACTGTATGACTGGAATCATGCTGGCTATTGGAGGAATCTACTTTTTTCCTGATTTCCCCTTCTTTCCTTACTCTTTCCTTCTGCTTGTTATTAAAGGACCTCAGATCCACATCCGATTTGCAAGAGTTAACACACGCATTGCAGCCCTTCTTTGAGCTGTATTTAACAGGTACTTCAGCGTGCCCTTCTTCCGTCTGTCTCGCTCTTCCACTGCTAAAGTAATCTAGCTCTTTGCTATCCCGGGCTCCCTTGGAGGAATTGTATTTCTGCTCTTCCTGCTTTCCATACTTCTGAGCTCTGTCAGCGGAAAAAGCCTTTTCCCCATCTGGATGCCGGCGGCGTTTGTGACTATATTCATAGGCTATCTTTGTGACGGGCCCCTCCGAGTATTCCCTTTCGGCCGACCGGTGAGACTGGGCACCCGGATTTCTCTGCTCCTCCTTTTCTTTGTAGGGTGCAAAAGAACGTTCTTGCTTCCACTTGGGATTTCTTGCTATGTCTCCACCGTCATACCTCTCCATTTCTTTAGCCCTTTTAGACGTGTGCCCATATTCTCTGTAATCGTGATCTTCAGGATACCTGTGTTGACATAAAGCAATTTACACTTGCACTAGAGAAGAAAGTGAGAACTTATATGTGCAGAATGTTGGACAGCAGAATGCGTGGCAAGTTAACCCATAATCCCTCACGCCAGGGTACGGATGAGCAGGGGCTCTTAAGAGGGAAACATTATCCTCTCACACTCTAGCCATCAACAACGATTTACTTAAAAGACAAATACTTCACTACTACCAGTCGCCCAAAATTAAACTACAAAGTGGCAAACGTGTCTCAAGGTGGGTATCTTCAACTATAATGAAAACAGACTTTCACTTGAGGCTTTACACCACAATACCCGGGTTTTAAGCATTTTATTCCTATACCTCTTCTGTAAAGAGCTCCTTGCCGTAAATTCATCAGACACTCTTCTGGGTGACTGACCATACTTCTCCTCATGTAATCTCTGGTGCCTCAAGTCATCTTCGTGCCATTTCCTTTCAAGTTTACACGATGCCCCTAATGGTCTATGAAAAGGTTTCATTCCTTTTTCATTTCCAGTGACTTTATAGTGCTCAGACATATATCTTTCTTCTATTTTGTGCTGGTAAAATGGTCGGTCATGTTCTTTATACGGCATTTCTGAGTATTTTGGTGGTAACTGATATCTCCTATTGCTTTCAGTTCTTTCTGATGAATGTGTTCTGTAGGGCTTATGACTGTAAGTATCTTCCAAGAGGATTCTTTTTAGGTTTGGTGAAGGTGACCTACGTTCATAAACTCTCTGGTGGTTATTTCCATGAGGTGCAAATCTAGAATTGCTTTGTCCATACTTCTCATCTTCTGCTCTCCAAGGCATGGACTTCTTTGGGTCCTTACGAAAGCTTTTGTATTCACAGTCATAGTTAATATGAGCATGCCTTTGTCTATGGTGTTCTGGACTCCTAAATGTTGGAGATAAGGACCTGAGACAAAAAAAAAGAAAAGAAAAAGAAAAAAAGAGAGATAACACTTTAAGCAGCCCAAGAAAACCAAATCACACTCTTAATGAGAACATCTCTTCAGTATAAAAGCATAATTCAGTACAGCACACACTACTAACCAAATAGTGTGCCAAACATAACAAAAGCCAAGATCTTCAAAGCATTTGTCTGGCTAGAGTTATTTACTTCCATCCTGTTAAAAGTTTTCATAGGAAAAACACCCACTCAAAATACTGGAAAGTCAGTCATTTTCCTCTCGCTGCATTTTTCACTTCAAATTAGTGTCATGTATATAGGAGGTTTCAACTACATTTAAAACAACTGTTACATACTTCTTCACACTTCTCAAGCATTCTCCATCTTTGCCTGTGCCAAGAGGAAAAAAATGGGGAAGAAAAAACACTAAAGAATTACAAACAACAAAAAGGAAATAAGTCTTTGCAGGGCCAGGAAGTCAGGCCGAGAAGAGCTGCTGATTTAAAGCATTAGAGAATATCCTATTTTAGAAAGAGAAAAGGTTACATAGGTGGGCTTTTTCTGCAGAAAAAGAATAGTTTGAGAAAGTTGTTTTGGTCTTTTTGTGCAAGTGTGAATGTATGCATATGTATGTAATTTTTTCTTACACACCGATAGCTCTGAAGGCTTAAAAATCATACGCCAGCCTCTTAGGCTTTTGCATTGTAAGTCCTAAAAATCAGGCAGGTAACTACCTGCATGATGATGCTGGTGGCATCAGACACAAGCTACTAGGCTGCTTTCCAAAAGGGCACTGTGATGCCCACTGTGCATTTTTTTCACCTTATGCTGTCAGACATATCTAACCGTGCCACAAACTGATTTCGAGATCAGCTCCCAAGGCTAGAAACGCTGAGATGTCTGAATACTCCCTCTAGATCAAGACACAAACCAGGAAGGCCTGAAGATATTAAGGGGTGTCTGAGCAAAATTAGCTTTTATCTATTGTTTGAGAGTTTGGCACTTAAGGTAGTGCCAGTCCCAAAATAAGCAGTCTGTGCATGGTTTTAAGTGGAGAGCAACATCTTAACATCTCTAGCCAAAAGTAATAAAAAGTTGACTGGTAGGAAAAAAAAAAAAAGTGTTCAGCAGAAATTTTTCAGACTAGAAAACAAATTATTGTAAAATACAAAATTCCAAATTCTGATTCTGGCTTCTTTTGATTTTCTTTTACTTAACAGCTTTAGATCTTTGTTATAAATCCCTATGCAGAGCTACATTTCAGAACAGAAATGGAATTACAGGTAAATGTGTACCTTTGTTTCCATCGGGGCGATCTTGATCTAGATCTTGTCATCTTTTCTCACGTGGTTTTTGAGTTTCTTGAAGCTGTGAAAACAATATGAATTAACAGCCTAACAATAGCATTGCACTACAACTGCCAATAAAGGCACTTTTAACTATTATTAGGTACTAAAGGTTTGAAGCAGCACTATTATTTTCAACCCTTGCTCTGATTTTAAGGCAAGTAACTACTTTCTTAACTGGTGAACTGACAGTTAATTTTCTTTATAATGAATTTAGAATATTTGGTAACAGGTCACTTATTTCTCTCCACATTATAAAACGTCTCTTAACACGTTAAATAAAAAATGGCACTAAGAACCTCACAAAGAAATTGCAACTAAGAAAATTATGCCAGAATTCTTAGCACATACTGAAAGCCACAAATGATAGAGGGAAGAGGCACCCAGCAAAATAATGATGCTTAAAGGAGGAAAAAGTTTCAGCATCCCATATATACGGCACTTAGATTTGTAATACACCTTAGGCTTAAGTGTTTACAGACTTCCCGTAACCTGTTACTGCTCCATCAAATGTTAACTTTTCTTGCATCACATTTCATCCATATGAAACAGAGTACAAAAGATATCATTTCTATATCCCACTTGTTAATAACCTACTACCTCTGCTTGCATTTACATGGACTACTTGAGGCAACATCACAAAGAATACTTTTTTTTTTTTAAAGAATTTCTAGTACTTTTATACTCCCAGCTAAAAATTACAACAGCAGTTATGTGAAAATCAACATTAGATTCTATTAATAAATGCAGGAGGGTTAGAAAAAGCACAGAAAATAACAAACAAAATATAATTACAGTGCTATAAAAGCCTACATTATGGACAAAGCTTGCAGACTGAATACGATCGGAGATCCTTTTGCACAAACAATGTAGAAGACTCAAAGAACATATTAATGGAGTCCACTCTTCTTGCCCTTCTTCGCAAGAAAAAAAAGATAATGCACTTGGAAGAATCTACAAACCCACCAGAAATGACTACACACACCCCTACAGCTCCTATTTACTACAAGCTGCTGTGGAGGCCAGAAATATTAATCGCTACAAAAGGAAATCCACAGACAACTCCGGAATTAGCAGACAGCCTAGTGAAGAACATTCATGGGTCAATGGCACTCTACACATGCCTTGGTGTTTTTCCAGGAACATCTGCTCCCCGACATTTCTGGAGACAAAAATATAGCCATGGCTTTTCATGGCTTTTCTGACACTCCTAGTCACTCCAGTCCTTCTGTAAGGATATCTTTTATTTACAAAACGTAAAGGAAGAAAGGATAGGGAAACAAGAGAGAGAGCACGCGCTTTCAGAGGCAAACCTGGAAAAGGAAGAACACGCTCACACACCTACTTCTTCCCCATCACATCGAGTGATCCACAAAACACTCCCCCCTCCATCTACTTTATTTGCATTAACAGCTTATAACCGCCACCTTCTTAGAAGGGCATACACAGCATACCCCTGATAGCCAAGACCACCCAGGGCCACTAGATAAACCAACCTGCCACGTGCCAGCAAGCAAAGCTGCCCCTGGAAATGTTCATTAGCCTGGGCAATGACTTACAACACTGTACGTGTCTGGAGGAAAACCTCAGAGGGTTTTTGTTTACTTTTAATATAAGAGTCTCATTTACCACCGAAGTATTTGTTTTGTGATTAAATTGCCTATGAGGCAAGAAATAAAGGTGTAAGAAGTGTTAGCAGGGATAAGTTAAGAGAAAATATGAAATACTCCAAAGACATAGAGTATTTCTGCTTTGAAGTGTCAAAGATGAAACTAAGCCTCACTTGAATCCTAAGTGTCTTAGATGTTGTTCTCAGATACATGTTTAAAGGCAGCAAGATGGCATGAATTTACCTCAGTCCTTTCTGTTTAAAATTGTACTAATAAGCATTGAATATAATGCTCCAGGAGAAGCCATAAAGAACATTTTATTTTTCAAATAGTACAACTAAGGTCTCCATAATTTTGTACTTCTCACCAATCAAAAACACTTTACCAAGTAGGACATTAAATGTTGAAAACATTAAAACCCATCCCCTAGCTAACACATTTTTTTAAAAAAAACTTGTAAACTTTAATAGTGCTTTATATGCTATTCAAATTCCTGCTTTCCATCTTCCCTTGGGTCCTGAACTTTATCCTTCACTTTGAAATGAGTTTAATGGCATGGCACACTCTTTTAGGTGTTTGTCCTTTGTTTTAAAACGAAGGATATACACGTAAAAGACCGTGCCGTTAAACTCCACCTAGACATCCTACAGAGCTCGCTGCAGTGCCAGGAGATGCTATCACAGACCCACCAAGCCAGAAACGGAACATACGTCGCCAGAGGTTTTGCTACGCACCTCAGCTGAGCAATCACACTAGAAGCGTGACAGAGACAGCGACAGCGTGTCCTCGGGCTCGCCTGCCGATAAACAGGATTACTGTAATCCCAGCCAGGACCCCCCTTTGGATTTGTGGGAAGCAACCGTTCATTCATCTGAATGCCTCTCCTTGGAAGGTCACACAGAAGCAACGCAATCTCCTCAGCACAAGAGTCAAAGGTGAAAACTGGATAAAGGCAGTAAAAGCTCGACGCCAATCCAGAGCCCTGGCTAACACCACAACCAGCACCAAAACTGAAAGGACGCGGCCAGGCCACGTTTAAAGCAAGGGCCCATCTTCCTGCCTGAGGTGCAAGGTCCAAAGGAAGGTGTCTGTGCCATGGCTCCGGGCGGCAGGCCCACTGCCAGCAAAACTACCTGCATCAGGTGGAGGCCCTGGAGTTCCCAAGGCAGCTGTCCAGGTGCTTCTTCAGGGGAAGTTCATTTTAAACCAGACATGCCCGGACCTACTTTATCCCGACCTCTGAATTTCACCAAGTCCTCCTCCTCTGTCTTACAGGAGGCTGCCACTATGATAAAATGGAAAGAACTACTCTTAACTAGGAGGCAATATTACTTAGATTGCAGTGCTGCATGTTTTTAGTTGTATTTCAATAATAAGTGACTCCGAGTGGAGTTATCAGCAACAGTGCTCAGTTTTTAAACATTAATGAGGAAAAATATCTCTTGTTTCATTTTCCTCAGCTTTTGGAACTTAAACCACTTCTGTCTCAGGAGAAAATGCCTTAAGCCTTTTGCCAGCTTGACACTGCTTCTAGCTTTAAGAGATCACTGCTTTGACAAGTATAAAATTCTGCTAGTATTTTTCAAGAATCTGAAAGAGATGTTTCAAAAAAAGTTACTTGAAAACGACCAGGAATGTTTGGGTGTGACAGCCAGAATGCACATTCCTTCAGAAAGGCTATGGATTGAACACCTTGCTCTGTTGACGCAAACCATCTCCAGTCTCCATCTTCTCCAGCAAGCAAGGTAAGAAATCATAAATTACTGCAATCAGGGGAACCAGAGCTCTGGTAAACACAAACCATCTCACATGAGTAAGTCTCCCACAGCTAAAACCTTGCAGAAAGAACACAGATGGAGTCAAAGTAGGTAAGTCCTCTGCAAATAGATCATAAAAACGTGGACTGCTTTATATTCCTTTCAGGTGTGGACTCAGCTACAGCAGATCAGCATTCAAATACAGACGATGGAAAAAAAATCAAGGGCTGGAAATGCACTAAAGAGCCAGTGAACAGTAGCAGTGTTCTCCACCAAGATGCTCGAGCTGTCGCTTCAGGTGCAGCAAGGAGGGACAGTTTCTAAGCACTTTGCAAGGGGCAGCCTGGCTCTGGCTCCAACGAGGAGCCCTGGGAGGCTGCAGGCCGGAGCGGGGCATCCGCAGGCCGGGCCACGGGCAGGCAGCAGGGCAGACAGCGCCCAGCTTGTGGCACCTGCCCCGTCCAAAGGGGCAGCTGCAGGTTCTCTGGACGGGCTCCCGAGCAGCCCCAAACTGGGAGGGGCTGCTCTCCCTATCCAGGGCTCATGCGGCCGCAGCGCCTACCGGGAGGGGAAACCAGGCGCCCAGCAGTTCAGTGCCAGCACAGCCAAATATTCGACAGAAACCAGAAAAAACAAAAGCTCAGGTGCGTCCCAGGGTTAACTTTCCTATGAAGGCTTAAGAACTGTAAAGCCTGAAGCACATGCGGCTATTTACCCTATTTATAGATTAAAATGTATAAAAGCGACAACTTTTCTAATAGATACGGTGGCTGACCCGCACACTTGTGCTTTCCCCTGCTTGTTGCTATTGCGTTGGCAGGATGTAGGCACCACACGTGCTCTCGCCCTGCTTGGCTCCCAGGCACAGCAGCTCTCTTGGCATTTCCTCTCCAAAAGGACTCTGGAATAGGGCAACTGAACTGCATGACTTAACAAATCCTCCCTCTCCAGAAGCACAGCCCTATCATAGATCTAAACACGGCAGGTCCATATACCTAGTCCAAAAATGTTGTCTCCGAAATGGCCAACAGCCTGTGCCCAGGGAAGAGCATAGGAATAAACACATCTCCCAATACCCACCGAACAGGTTGGTAAGTTTCTGACCTGCAATGGGAATCATAAAGACTCAGCAGAAACGCCAAACTGGCTTCACACCCACTTTAACTCATATATACAAACCTCCCCTCAGTCTTCCCAATTGCCTTTGACCTCGGAGCCGCTCCGGGCTCTGGTGCCAAGGCGCAGCACTCCTCGCTGTGGATCCCCAACAAGGGGAGGGCGCAGGCTGGGCTCCCTGCAGCACAGAGCCCCGCGGCAGCTCCCAGCTCCGATGCTGCCCTGGCTGCACACACAGTGTGCTCCGAGAGCCACCAGCTACAGCAGCTCGGGCTCGGACTGGCTGAAGCCGAGGAAACCCAACCGCAGGGCTTCCAGACCATCCCCTCTTTCAGACAACTTGGTACATAACCAGATCTGTGCAAAAGATCCATAGGCAGATTTTCCATCCTCAGCTTCCTCACTACACTGAGGAACTACACTGCACTAGTGCTCTTCTAGACTTCAACTGCTGTCTCCTGGCCTTTACTCACTCTCAGATTCTTCCAGAGCTCCAGGCTTGACACTCCAAAATATTATGTAGCAGGTCTGGCT